ACAACCTTGTTCCGGCTCTGAGCCCCTTCTATTATTCTTTGATTTTAATAATTTTATCGTTCAACTGTGTAACTATTTAGCTATTTTGTGAAAATGTTCACATTTTGGGATTAGAGCAGCGATATATATTATATAAAAGAAATACATAAATGTATAAAAATTATTGTCACATTTTTGGCATCTTCCGCGATATATGTGTTACACCCCGACATTTCTGCGACACGTATACCGTTCTTTTCAATTAAAAAAAATAAAAAGACGGGAGTTAGATCATCTTTGCGGGAATGTCTTCATTTTCAATGATGAAATCGCGCCTCATTGCGCGCCGCATTGCAAAACGAACATCTCAGCTTGACGGTAACCGCGTTACATCGTCGAGGACCGCGATTATTACACGCGATTCAGAACTCGTAAAGGCCGAATCAGACTAGCAAGTGCTCAGATTGGATTGGGATTGGCGACTGACGATTGTTCTTTAGGCAATGAGAGTCGATTAAGTCTCTGGCTGTTTTGCTCTCATTGGCTAAAAGACAAACGCCAATCCAATCCGCGTCGACAAAGTAAAAGTCACTAAACTTGAGATTAGCGAAAACTTTACTCCGATTGGTCAAATTTCAATCTAATCTCAATCTCAATCAAGTCTGATGCGGGCTTTACGGCCGTCAAAGATCTCTCGACGCCGCTCGCCTCCGAGCATTACCCCTGGTCCACAATCTTGCTTCAAGTAAGCTGTAAGCTTTAAGCCGTAAGAAATTAACCAATCACGGGCATTTATTCTCCTTAAGGCCTTCACACATAAAATTCCGTAAGGACGTAAAACGTAAGCATAAGAAAATCGACCAATCACAGTCGAGAACGTAAGGCAATAACGCAAGCAGTAGCAAATCCAATCTGTTGATTTTCTTACGCTTACGTTTTACGTCCTTATGAAATTTTATGTGTGAAGGCCTTCACTCTCATCTGTGATTGGTTAATTCCTTACGGCTTAAAGCTCGTATCAGACTACGGATTGAGATTGGGATTAGATTGAAATTTGACCAATCACAGTAAAGTTTACTAATCTCAAGTTTAGTAACCATTACTCTGATTGGTCAAATTTCAATCTAATCTCAATCTCAATCCGTAGTCTGATACGGACTTAAGGCTTACAGCTTAAGCCCGTATCAGACTACGGATTGAAATTGGGATTAGACCGAAATTTGACCAATCACAGTAAAGTTTACTGGTTTCAAGTTTAGTAACTTTCACTCTAATTGATTCTAATCTCAC